TATATATATATATATATATATATATATATATATATATATGTAATTATGTTATATATATATATATATTACATATATATATAAATTCTTACCCTGTGTCATTAGTCTTTCTTTCTTTCGCCCACCCCTAATTTGTCTCTCCTCTTTCTTCCTTTGATCTCTTTTTATATTTCTTCCTTCCCTTCTCTTCTCTTCTCTCGTTTCTACCCACTTTACCTCTTCAACCTGCTTTCCCTCCTGTCTTTTCTCTCTCACACTATCATTGCCTCTCCCCCCCCCCCCCCTTCTTCACTTTCCTCCCGACCGTCCACTCCTCTATTTTCATTTACTTATTTACATATATATACATATATACATAGTGATATATTGATATGAATATAAATATCATTCTCTTTCTCCGTATATTTCAAGTATGTGTGGGAGTGGGTGTGCACACAGACACATACACACACAAAAAAGCGCACACAAGCACACACATATGCAAGCACGCACACAAACACGCACACACACACACACACACACATTCGTTCCCCTCTCCTTCCTTCCCCTCTTTTATATCTTCTATATCATCCCTAACTCTTTTCCTCTCTCTCTCTCTCTCTCTCTCTCTCTCTCTCTCTCTCTCTCTCTCTCTCTCTCTCTCTCTCTCTCTCTCTCTCTCTCTCTCTCTCTCTCTCTCTCTCTCGTCTCTCTCTCTCTCTCTCTCCTCTCTCTCTCTCTCCTCTCTCTCTCTCTCTCTCTCTCTCTCCTCTCTCTCTCTCTCTCTCTCTCTCTCTCTCTCTCTCTCTCTCTCTCTCTCTCTCTCTCTCTCTCTCTCTCTCTCTCTCTCTCTCTCTCTCTCTCTCTCTCCCTCTCTCTCTCTCTCTCTCTCTCTCTCTCTCTCTCTCTCTCTCTCTCTCTCCCTCTCCCTCTCTCTCTCTCTCTCTCTCTCTCTCTCTCTCTCTCTCTCTCTCTCTCTCTCTCTCGCTCGCGTTGCCTGGCTTAACACGGGAGAAAACCCAATATACGAGGCTGTGTTCATCTGCAGTCTCCTGGAAGCTAAAGTTGCCTGCCGGGCGAAGGTCCCAGTCAGCTGTGACATTTGTGAACAAGAAGCCCAAAATAATGCTTGACATCTGAGCATAAGCTGTGAGGGAGAAAGAGAGTGAGAGCGAAGGAAGGAGAGAGGGGGAGAGGGAAAGGGAAGTAGGGAGAGAGAGGGGGAGTGAGAGAGAGAGAGAGAGAGAGAGAGAGAGAGAGAGAGAGAGAGAGAGAGAGAGGGAGGGAGGGAGGGAGCGTAAGAGAGAGGAAAGGAAGGAGGAAGAGGGGGAACAAGAGTGAGAGAGAGAGAGAGAGAGAGAGAGAGAGAGAGAGAGAGAGAGAGAGAGAGAGAGAGAGAGAGAGAGAGAGAGAGAGAGAGAGGACGGGAGGCGGGAGAAATAGAAAGAGGGAAAGGGGGAAAGATAGAGATAGAGATAGAGATAGAGAATATCAAAGAAAGTATAAGAGAAAGAGAGAGAGAGAAAGGGAGATACAGAAGGAAAAGAAACTAAAATATAAAGATAGCGCGGACATAGGAGAGGAGATAATCAAGGGAAGAAGATAAACGGAGAGAAAAGAAGAACCATGGAAAAATATTAAAGATTAAAAGGCAACAGAGGAAAGACATACTACAGAGTTCATTATCCTTTCCTTATTAAGAGTGAGATCAGATATCATTTCCAGCATTATCTTTTGATAGAAAAAAAAATACTGAGCAAAAAAAAGGGATTCTTTCCACAAAGCATACATACTGTCAGGGAAAAAAAAATATTGGGTACACTCGTAATATCTCTCTTTATTCCGGCTTCCTCTCTCTCTCTCTCTCTCTCTCTCTCTCTCTCTCTCTCTCTCTCTCTCTCTCTCTCTCTCTCTCTCTCTCTCTCTCTCTCTCCGTCCCTCTTTCTATCACTCCCCCCTCTTTCGCTTCCTCCATCCCACACCCCCTCTTTATCTCTCCTCGTCTTCCCTTTATCCATTCTTCTCCCTATTCCCCCATCCCTCCCTCCTTTCTTCCCTCTCTCCTATCCCTCATCCTCCCCTTCCATCCTTCCATCCTTCCTGTATCTCTACCCCACCATTCTTCATTCCATCCTTCCCTCTCCCTTCCAATCTCAGGCTATCCTTCCGTCCCCCATCCCTGTCTAGTACTCCTTCTCTTCCCCCTTCATTCTCTTCCTTAATCTATCCCTCTCCCCCCTCCCTTCCACCTTCAATCAATCCCACCCTCAGTCCCTCCCTCCCACCCTCCCCCACTCTTATCTCCTTCCCTCTCTCCCTCACCCCTATCTCTACCCCTCCCCTCCCTTCTCCCCCTCCCTCAGTCTATCTCTCTTTCTCTCTCTCCCTCTCCCTCCCTCCTTCCCTTTCTCCCTCGCCCACCCCTATCTCTACCCCTCCCTCTCCTTCCCCCCTCCCTCAATCTATCCCTCTCTCTATCCCTCCCCCTCCCCCTCCCCCTGTATTCCTCTCTCGATCCCACAATAGAATTTCAGGCAAGGGATAGTATGTTTCCTATTCACTTGATTATGCTTAGTTACGTTATATCGCATGGTTTCATTATTAGCGTTGGTAATGATGCAATATCGACGTTAATGAAGGTAGTATATAATTCTGTTACATGTGAGTATCCTAGCATATTCCTGCGGCAGATAATGATATTATGATCTGTAATGATTGGAAAAAAAAATATTTAATTTTGAGTGAACATTGATGTGAGAGAGAAAAATGAGAAAGAGAGGGCGGGAAAGAGAGAGAGGGGGGGAGGGGGTGGAGAGAGAAGTAAAGAGATTGAGAGAGAGAGAGGTGAAAAATGGGAAGAATGTGTATATACGTTCAGCTAATGCAAAGAAAAAGTAAAAATGAACTTTAAAAATGGAAACAGAAAATGGTGATAATAAACGTTGATCACAAAAATCAAAAGCCTTCCCAAATGTTGTTATTTGAACACGTTTTAACTTAGTCTAATATTTAGCTCAGAAATGCTGATTTACGGCCTCCTTGTATGAAAAAGTATTGTAATATAAATGTCTTTTTATTTAGCCAGATGTTTAGTTAGATGAAGCAACGTTATCAATTAATTTAAGTATTATTACACTTTCATTAATACCGACTCTGACTGGTATGCTTCCAGAATATTAATCACAAAAAAAACACATCACAACCACCATCATCACTGTCATTATTTATATTTAACCACAAAGGACATCATCAAATCGACATCCCATCAGCATCATTACCAGCCAATCTCAAGAAGTTTTCAACATAAGCAACATCAACACCAATAATCTCCATCGTTCACTTTTAATAAGAAGTCTTCATCATCATCAAAAATAATAGAGCGAGACAAGGAATCACTTCTCTCCTCCTTGAACGAAGACTTTGAACTGGTAACTGTGAAATAGGAAAGAGCTTTTATTAGATTTTCGGAGACAATTTGTTGCTCTTGGCGTAAGTGACGTAAGTGGCGGGCAAGGCAAGCTCTCCTTGTCATCTTTTGTTTTGTTTTGTTTTGTTTTGTTTTTTCCTTGCTTTGTTATACTCGTTTTCGGTTTGCCACGTGTTCTTTTTTATTGTTGGAAATGTTATTATTAATGTTCGTCTTGGTGACTTCTTTGCTCTTTCTATATATGTTTATGTATCTATCTAGCATCTCTCTATCTGTCTGTTTGTCTGTCTTTCTGTCTGTCTATCTGTCTATATACCTATCTATCTCCTCCCCCCTTCTCTCTCTCTCTCTCTCTCTTTCTCTCTCTCTCTCTCTCTCTCTCTCTCTCTCTCTCTCTCTCTCTCTCTCTCTCTCTCTCTCTCTCTCTCTCTCTCTCTCTCTCTCTCTCTCTCTCTCTCTCTCTCTCTCTCTCTCTCTCTCTCTCTCTCTCTCTCTCTCTCTCTCTCTCTGTCTCTCTCTTTGTCTCTTTGGCTTGACTCTAACTTTACTTATTTTTCTTGCTCCCTCTCTACCAATATTAATAACAACACTTGGCTCTCACCCCCCCCCTTACCTCCCCCCTTCTCTCTCTCTCTCTCTCTCTCTCTCTCTCTCTCTCTCTTTCTCTCTCTCTCTCTCTCTCTCTCTCTCTCTCTCTCTCTCTCTCTCTCTCTCTCTCTCTCTCTCTCTCTCTCTCTCTCTCTCTCTCTCTCTCTCTCTCTCTCTCTCTCTCTCTCTCTCTCTCTCTCTCTCTCTCTCCTCTCTCTCTCTCTTTGTCTCTTTGGCTTGACTCTAACTTTACTTATTTTTCCTGTTCCCTCTCTACCAATATTAATAACAACACTTGGCACTCACCCCCCCCCCCCTTACCTCATTTCCTGTCCTCTTCCACCTCCTACGGTCTCTTCCCCTCCCCTCCCCTCCCCTTTCTCCCCCTACCCCCCCCCACGTTCCCCACTCCCCCCACATTCTCTCCCTTCTATCCTCTTATCTCTTTCTCTTCCCCAACTCCTTATCTCTTTTTTTCCAACCCCCCTTTTTATCCATTATCCCTTCCTCCTTGCCCACATCTTTATTAATTCACTTTTATCGCCATTTCTTCGCTCCTTTATCTTCCTTTATCCCCACTTCTTCGCCGCCACTTCCCAATTTCTTATTTCCCACTTCCTTATTCCTCTCCTCATCGCTAAATCTCTTCTGTTTTCCTTCTTCTTCTTCTTCCTTCACTTTCTCATCTCCACTCTTTAACAACTTATCCCTTTCCCTTAACCACTTTCATCTCTCTTGCCCCTTCCCCCCCCACCCCCCCACTTCTATACCCACTTTCTCACTCCCTGCCCTACTCCCTCACCCCTACCCCTACCCCTACTTCTTCATCCATAACCCCTCCCCCCCGTACCCCTACTCCCCCCCATCCGTACCCCTATTCCCCCCCCATCCGTACCCCTACTCCCCCCCACCCGTACCCCTCCATCCCACCCGTACCCCTACCCCCCTCCCGTACCCCTCCTCTCCTCCCGTACCCCTCCTCCCCCCACCCGGTCCCCCCCCCTTGCAGTCGCCCCGTGGGAAGTCCAAGGGAGCGTGAGCCCGTCGACGGTCGAGGAGGGCCGCGTCGTCACGCTCTCCTGCAAGTCGTCCTCGAGCCTGCCGGAGTCGAGTATCACTTGGCGGTCGAACAACGTCACCCTCGAAGGCGCTGGACTCAAGTACTCCCGAGGGGCTTTTGGAGGCACGCAGACAAGGTGAGAGGGAGGAGGAGGAGGAGGAGGAGGAGGAGGAGGAGGAGGAAGAGAAGAAGGAGGAGGAGGAGGAGGAGGAGGAGGAGGAAGAGGAGGAGGAGGATGGGAGACAAAGTGAATAGGGGAAGGGAGAGAATAGAGATAAAGTAGATAGAGGGAGGGATGGGAAGGGAAAGATAGGCAGACAGATAAAAGAGGAGAGGGATAGGGGAGGAGAGACAGGACAGAGTGAATCGGGAGAGAGATAGGAAAAGATAGAAAGGAAGAGAGATAGGAAAAGATAGAAAGGAAGAGAGATAGGAAAAGATAGAAAGGAAGAGAGGGAGAAAACACAAAATAAACTGAGGAAGGGATATGAGAGCAAAGGGTAGGAGAAGAGGAAGGAATAGACAAAATAAATAGGAAAAGATGGAGAAGAGAGGGAGGGGCAAACAAAATAAAGGACAGGAAATGATGGAAAAGAAAGAAATGGAAGACAAAGTAAGGAAGGTGGCAGGGGGGGGGGGGTAAAAACGAAGATGGATGGGAAAGGGGGATGAGAGGAGGAAGAGAGGAAAAAGGATAGGAAAAAGTAGAGTTAGGGCGGACTAAGTACGGGTGGGGGGTGGGGGGTGGAGGGAAGGGCACGTACATGAAATGAGAAGTAGAATGGGGGAATTAGAAGGAGAGAAGAGAACGTGAGGTAAAAAAGACGACGTTGACGAAGAGGTGGGAGGAGAAGATTGGGAGAAAGGAGTGAAAGGGAAGAGGTGAAAGAGATAAGAAGAGATAAAGAGATTAAGGAGAGATGGGAAGAAGGAGAAGGGAAAAGGGGGTATAATAAAGACGTGAAAAGAGAGACGAAGATAGGGACATACGGACAGACAAACAGCAGAAATAAACAGACAGACAGACAGACGCATTGGGCAGGCAGACATGAACAAAAAAAAGAAAGAGAAAGGCAGATAGATAGACAGACATACAGACAGACAGAAACAAAACCTACAAGAAAGAAATGCAATAAAAGACGTTGATGGAAGGGAAGGAAAAGAAATGAAAAAGGAAACAAATGGAAAATAAAAAAAATGAAAGAATAACGTGAAGCGTGAAGGGGTAAGAATCAGCTTTCGCCAGTTTTCAGTGTCTGTTTACTTAATCTTTGCCAATAATCTATATATCATTGATTTGTTTGTTTACTTACTAAATTCATGGGTTTGTTTTCACTTGTTTGTTTACGTTTCGAATTTAGATGTTCATTTCATGCATCGTTTACTTTTTGATGTAAATGCGTGTGTACATTTTACACACACACTCACACACACACACACATACACAAACACATACATACACATACATACACACACACGCACACACACACACGCACACACGCACACACACACACACACGTACACACACACACACACACACACACACACACACACACACACACACACACACACATACACACACACACACACACACACACACACACACACACACACACACACACACACACACACACACACACACACACACACACCACACATATATATATATATGTGTGTGTGTGTGTGTGTGTGTGTGTGTGTGTGTGTGTGTTGTTGTTGTTGTTGTTGTTGTTGTTGTTGTTGTTGTTGTTGTTGTTGTTGTTGTTGTTGTTGTTGTTGTTGTTGTTGTTGTTGTTGTTGTTGTTGTTGTTGTTGTTGTTGTTGTTGTTGTTGTTGTTGTTGTTGTTGTTGTTGTTGTTGTTGTTGTTGTTGTTGTTGTTGTTGTTGTTGTTGTTGTTGTTGTTGTTGTTGTTGTTGTTGTTGTTGTTGTTGTTGTTGTTGTTGTTGTTGTTGTTGTTGTTGTTGTTGTTGTTGTTGTTGTTGTTGTTGTTGTTGTTGTTGTTGTTGTTGTTGTTGTTGTTGTTGTTGTTGTTGTTGTTGTTGTTGTTGTTGTTGTTGTTGTTGTTGTTGTTGTTGTTGTTGTTGTTGTTGTTGTTGTTGTTGTTGTTGTTGTTGTTGTTGTTGTTGTTGTTGTTGTTGTTGTTGTTGTTGTTGTTGTTGTTGTTGTTGTTGTTGTTGTTGTTGTTGTTGTTGTTGTTGTTGTTGTTGTTGTTGTTGTTGTTGTTGTTGTTGTTGTTGTTGTTGTTGTTGTTGTTGTTGTTGTTGTTGTTGTTGTTGTTGTTGTTGTTGTTGTTGTTGTTGTTGTTGTTGTTGTTGTTGTTGTTGTTGTTGTTGTTGTTGTTGTTGTTGTTGTTGTTGTTGTTGTTGTTGTTGTTGTTGTTGTTGTTGTTGTTGTTGTTGTTGTTGTTGTTGTTGTTGTTGTTGTTGTTGTTGTTGTTGTTGTTGTTGTTGTTGTTGTTGTTGTTGTTGTTGTTGTTGTTGTTGTTGTTGTTGTTGTTGTTGTTGTTGTTGTTGTTGTTGTTGTTGTTGTTGTTGTTGTTGTTGTTGTTGTTGTTGTTGTTGTTGTTGTTGTTGTTGTTGTTGTTGTTGTTGTTGTTGTTGTTGTTGTTGTTGTTGTTGTTGTTGTTGTTGTTGTTGTTGTTGTTGTTGTTGTTGTTGTTGTTGTTGTTGTTGTTGTTGTTGTTGTTGTTGTTGTTGTTGTTGTTGTTGTTGTTGTTGTTGTTGTTGTTGTTGTTGTTGTTGTTGTTGTTGTTGTTGTTGTTGTTGTTGTTGTTGTTGTTGTTGTTGTTGTTGTTGTTGTTGTTGTTGTTGTTGTTGTTGTTGTTGTTGTTGTTGTTGTTGTTGTTGTTGTTGTTGTTGTTGTTGTTGTTGTTGTTGTTGTTGTTGTTGTTGTTGTTGTTGTTGTTGTTGTTGTTGTTGTTGTTGTTGTTGTTGTTGTTGTTGTTGTTGTTGTTGTTGTTGTTGTTGTTGTTGTTGTTGTTGTTGTTGTTGTTGTTGTTGTTGTTGTTGTTGTTGTTGTTGTTGTTGTTGTTGTTGTTGTTGTTGTTGTTGTTGTTGTTGTTGTTGTTGTTGTTGTTGTTGTTGTTGTTGTTGTTGTTGTTGTTGTTGTTGTTGTTGTTGTTGTTGTTGTTGTTGTTGTTGTTGTTGTTGTTGTTGTTGTTGTTGTTGTTGTTGTTGTTGTTGTTGTTGTTGTTGTTGTTGTTGTTGTTGTTGTTGTTGTTGTTGTTGTTGTTGTTGTTGTTGTTGTTGTTGTTGTTGTTGTTGTTGTTGTTGTTGTTGTTGTTGTTGTTGTTGTTGTTGTTGTTGTTGTTGTTGTTGTTGTTGTTGTTGTTGTTGTTGTTGTTGTTGTTGTTGTTGTTGTTGTTGTTGTTGTTGTTGTTGTTGTTGTTGTTGTTGTTGTTGTTGTTGTTGTTGTTGTTGTTGTTGTTGTTGTTGTTGTTGTTGTTGTTGTTGTTGCTTAACCCTCTCTCCCCGCTTCCTCTTCTGTTTACCTTCTCTCCCTCCCCCTCCGTCCATCTCCACTCTTCTACTTTCCCCATCCACCCTATTCACATTTTTCTTCCTTCCTCCCCCCCTCCCCCTCCCCATACCTCAACTAAACCCTTTTATCTTCCCTCCCTTTCCCCTCCCTTTCGTTTCCCTTCCCTCTCTTACCTTCCTCTACCTCCTTCCTCTATCCCATTTTATCCCCTATACCGTCCTCAATTTACCCCCCCCCCCCTCCCTCCACCCCCCCCTTTCCCCTTCCTACTTACCCTTTCCCTCCTTTTCCTACTTTATCTCCTCCACTTCCCTATCTACCTTCCACCCCCTCACTCTACCTCCCCTTTCCCCTTCCCACTTACTCTTTCCCTCCCTCTACATCTACTTTATCTCCTTCCCCTCCCTATCTACCTTCCACCCCTTCCCTCCACCTCCCCTTTCCCCTTCCTACTTACTCTTTTCTTCCCTCTACATCTACTTTATCTCCTTCCCCTCCCTATCTACCTTCCACCCCTTCCCTCCACCTCCCCTTTCCCCTTCCTACTTACTCTTTTCTTCCCTCTACATCTACTTTATCTCCTTCCCCTCCCTATCTACCTTCCACCCCTTCCCTCCACCTCCCCTTTCCCCTTCCTACTTACTCTTTTCTTCCCTCTACATCTACTTTATCTCCTCCCCCTCCCTCCCTATCTACCTTCCACCCCCTTACTCTTTCCCTCCCTCTACATCTACTTTATCTCCTCCCCTCCCTATCTACCTTCCACCCCTTCCCTCCACCTCCCCTTTCCCCTTCCTACTTACTCTTTTCTTCCCTCTACATCTACTTTATCTCCTCCACTTCCCTATCTACCTTCCACCCCTTCCCTCCACCTCCCCTTTCCCCTTCCCACTTACTCTTTCCCTCCCTCTACATCTACTTTATCTCCTCCACTTCCCTCTCTACCTTCCACCCCTTCCCTCCACCTCCCCTTTCCCCTTCCTACTTACTCTTTTCTTCCCTCTACATCTACTTTATCTCCTTCCCCTCCTATCTACCTTCCACCCCTTCCCTCCACCTCCCCTTTCCCCTTCCCACTTACTCTTTCCCTCCCTCTACATCTACTTTATCTCCTTCCCCTCCCTATCTACCTTCCACCCCTTCCCTCCACCTCCCCTTTCCCCTTCCCACTTACTCTTTCCCTCCCTCTACATCTACTTTATCTCCTCCCCCCTCCCTATCTACCTTCCACCCCTTCCTCTACCTCCCTTTCCCTTCCACTTACTCTTTCCCTCCCTCTACATCTACTTTATCTCCTCTCCCTCCCTCCTTCCCTATCTACCTCCCCCACCCCCTCCCTCCACCCACACGCCCACAGATCAGAACTGCGTATGCGGACGTCTGCTGCGGATAACGGAAAAGACATAGTTTGCAGTGCGGACAACGGACTCGGCTCTCCGGTACATACTACGCTGTTCCTCAATGTGTTACGTAAGTGTTTTTTGGTTGTTGTTGTTTTTTTTGTATGTGTGTCTCTTTGTGTGGTTTGATTATGGTTATAAGTAGTGTTGTTGTTGTTGTTGTTGTTTTATTGTTATCTTTATTATCATTATTATCAGTAGTAATAGGATCATTATTATTATCATTATCATTATTATTATTATTATTATTATTATTATTATTATCATTATTATCATTATTATTATTATTATTATTATTATCATTATTATTATCATTATTATTATTATCATTATTACTGCTTTTACTGTTGTTATCATTACTATCAGCATTATTGTTATCAGTGTTATGATTAATATCATTATCATTATTGATGATGTTATTATTCTCATTGTTATCATCATTATCATTATTATTATCATTATCATTATTACTATTGTTGTTGTCTTTGTTGATGTTGTTATTACTGTTATCATTGTTATTATTACCATCATCATTACTATCAATATTGTTATACATATCACTGTTATAATTGTTGTTAAAATTATTATTAATGTTATTATTATTTATTATGATTATTATCACTATTACTGTTATTGCCATTATTGTTATTATCACTATTATTATTATTATCCTTATTATTATCGTCATTATCATTATTATTATTATTATTATTATTATTATTATTATTATTATTATTATTATTATTATTATTATTATTATTATTATTATTACTATTATATCATAATCATTATTATCACCATCACCATTATTATTCTCATTATTAATATCATTATCAATATTCTGTTAGTATTATTATCATTATTATCATTACCAATATTCTGATATTATCATCATTATCATTATTATCATTATTATCATTATTTTTATTATTATTATTATTATTATTATCATTATTATCATTATTATTATTATTATTATTATTATAATTATTATTATCATTATTATTATCATTATTAGTATTAGTAATATTTTTGTTGTTGCCTTTATCCTTTTCGTTATCATTAATGTTATTTTTGTCATCATTATCATTATCATTATAATAACTATTAATATTTTTATCATTATCATTATCATTAACATTAGCTGTATTATTATTACCATCATCATTTTTCAAATTAATTTAATTATTATTGTTATCATCAATATTATCTTTATCATTATCACGATCAATATTCTCTTAGTCTTATTGTCTGTTTATTTATCGTTGTTATTATTATCATTATTGTTATTATTATTATTATTATTATTATTATTATTATTATTATCATCGTTATTGTTGATATTGCCGCTGCTGTTGTTATCTTATCATTATTATTATAATTACTATTATCTTTATTATCATTATCACTGGTGTTACTATCATCATAATCATTATCATAATTATCATTATTATCCCCATCAAAGAATATTATTATCATAGCAGACAGTATTAGTAAGAACAATAGTCGTAGAAGTAGTTATAGCAGTAGTGGTAGTTGTAGTAATAGTTATAGTAGTAGTGGTAGTAGTAGTAATAGTTATAGCAGTAGTGGTAGTAGTAGTAATAGTTATAGCAGTAGTGGTAGTAGTAGTAATAGTTATAGCAGCAGTGGTAGTAGTAGTAGTAGTTATAGCAGTAGTAGTAGTAGTAGTAGTAGTAGTAGTAATAGTGGTAGTATAGTAGTAGTAGTGGTTTCGTCAGTATGCCAGTGTGAGTGTGCTGTTAGTTCACTTTCATCAATATATTACCGTTTTGGTTAAATCATTATCTTCGGCAATATTACCCGTGACATTTTGAATTCATGCGAGATTAGTTTGCATTTCATAATACCAACAAGTAATAGTATTCTCCTGCATTATTATCTTTATTTACCTTCTTCTAAT